GATTGAACCCAGGGATGCTCTACCACTGAATTACATACCCGGCCCTTTTTATTTTTTATTTTGAGACAGGGTCTCATTAAGTTCTCAAGCCTGCCTTCAAACTTGTAATCCTCCTTCCTCAGCCTCCCAAGCTCAGTTTCTGGAGTCATAGGTGTGAGCCACTGCACCCAACATAGATTGTCTTTTGAATTGTACTCATTCACATATTTGTCTTAGTGCCTCAACTTTATTAGGCTATAAATTGCTTAAAGGAAGTGACTGTCTTGCTCTCTCACAACACCTACCCTTGTGAGTTACAGAAAATAGGTTCTTTTTGGTTGTGGTGATGCACACCTGTTAATCCCAGCAACTCAGGAGGCTGAGTCAAGAGGATCACAAGTTCATGGCCTACTTCACTCAGCAATTCAGTGAGGCCTTGAGCAGCTTAATGAAACTCAGTCTCAAAATAAAAAGTTAAAAGGGTTTGGGGATGCATCTCAGTGGTAAAGTGCCCCTGAGTTCAATTCCCAGTTTAAAAATCAAACAAACAAACAAAAATAAAATATTTCTTAATATTTGTTCCATCATTTCCTTGTTTACTTGGACTTGGTCCATGGTATTGCAACCTGAAACCAATTGTGGAATCAGTTCTAAACGACGTGAGTCCTCTGCCATCCCGAAATAGCCCTGAAGGTACAACCACCTCGTGAAGGCAGCAGGTCTGAGTAGGAAACTGGTGCTCATGGCTGATCATTTACCCAAAGTAGAACCTGATCTCCGCTGTGTTTCACCTCATCATTTGTTCTTGTTAGCTGTAATGTTGGGAGGAATTGTGAATGCAAAGGAACTTAAACAGATAAAAAAATAAAGTTATTTGGAAATAAAAAGAATGATCTAGATTTTTAAGGATTTATTCTTGTTCTAATGGGTTGAAGAAAAATCAGAAGACCAGATAATTCCTGCAACTCTGGGACAGAGTTTAAGATGTTAACAATTAAGCTATTATAGAAAGCAATAGATTTTCTAAGAACTTTTAGATATTTAGGAAAATAGACACAACCCTAAATTACTGCCTTTTGGCAAGGTGATTCTAGATCAATACCTTACAGAATATATGATATTGGTTTCTAGGTTGTTTGCCTAATGAATTTTTAACTATACTTACAAGAATAATTATTAAGGCATAATTAAAGTTTCGGGGAAAAGGTGGTTTAATGGTGGGCTTTTGTTCTCAAGGGAAAATTGGTATGCTCACTTTTTAGAAAAATAAATGTTAAATTGATTCTGGATTGAATGACGTCTGTTTGGAAGGAATAGAAAAGCACATCAGAAAAGGAGGAAATCATTGTGGACTGAAGAATGAAGCAGATTGCAAATTACAAGTTTTTCAAATTATTCATTTTAGGAGACTTCGCATTGCAGAGTCACTGCTCTCATTTTAGGATTCTTAAAAGATGGAGAAAGTCAGAGAATCAAAGAAAGAAAAAATAGATCTATTATAGTTCATTTGTTTTTAAAAGAGTTGAAGGGGGACCCTAACAATTAAAGATTAGTTTACTTAGTTCTCACCATGGGATGAAAATTGCAGATCAGATCTTCAAAAAAATCCACTCGTGGTGTGTCTAGGGGCGTGCAGGAGCCTGAAGTGGAACAGTGTGGCTTTATGAAGCTCAGTATGTGTCAGACAATTCTAATTTCCTTTCATGACAGGATGACAGGACTTATAGCTTGGAGGGAAGCAATAGAGGCCATTTATCTGTCTTTTATTCAAGTTTTCAATTCTATCAAACATGTGATGCCCAGCAGCCAGATAGCAAAATAGGATGAGCATTGGGTTTCTCAAGTTGCAAGCACTGGAAAGTTCATGAGAATTTACAAACAGAAGAACACATTCTTGTATAGAAGGCTTCTTCAAGGTATTCTAGTTTTTTTAAAATCTCAGAGCACTAAACTATATATGATAATTATTATAATATTAACATTATATATAAATTATGTACAACCCTATATCTGTGTATATAACTACATATGGACATATATACATATACATGGATATACATCATATGTCCATATGATAATGAGGACAAGTCCTCTTTATCCCATATGATATAGAGTATATTATAGTGAGATATATCAATTCCCCCAGTCTTACTATGTGCTGGGCTCTGTGCATGCTTCTGGGAACATAAAATGCTGAAGATGCTGTTCCTGGCATTAGGCGTAAGAGTAAAGTGAAAGCTCTCCCTCTCTGTAACCATTCCAGTGGAGGGACCATCTGAAGACTTTCATCCAGCTCAGCTGGAAGACCATCTTCTGGATTTATTCTTCTGCATCAGCAGCTCTCAGCCCAGCCTGAGATATATTTTAGAATAGAGCTTCCTAGTCCCATTCCCAGAGGCTCTTGTTGAGTTTGTCTGAGATGAAGCCTCAAAAGATGTTTTTGAAAGCCTTCTCTGGTGATCCCAATGGGCCCCAGTGTTGAGAACCACAGCGCAGTGTTGTGGAGCAAATCCATTGACACCTGCACCCAGCTCATAATGAAGGGAGGTTCACAAGGGAAGCAGGGAAGTGCTCTGAAATATCATTTAACAAGTATTTACTGAGCATCTAGTATATCACAGGCACTGTTTCAGGTTCTTAGGGGAACAGCAGTCAATAAAGCAGGCGCAGTCTTTGCCCTCAAGACCTTTATAGTCTAGGCATCAGGCATTGATTAAATCACGACATAATTCAACCATGTGCATGAGCTCAGGGGAGGTCCTGCAGGGAGAGTAGATAGCAAAAGACTCTGATATGGGAAGGGATGTTGACAACTAGTCCTCATTATCCTATATAATATTGCTGGACAAATCAGGAAAAGACCTCTCTCTCCTTGGATGTGGCTGAACCAGTACTCACAGCTAGATGAACAAGTTCCACTTGTCCCCTTAGCTGAATACTCCTATTTGAGGGTTCTGTGGGAAATCCTTTGTGAAGGACTGTGCTTTTTTACTTTTGGGCCTTGGGCACAACTGAGGAGTCAGGGGATGCAAAAAAAAAAAAAAAAAAAAAAAAAAAAAAAGGAGGAGGAGGAGGAGGAGAAAGGAGAGGGAGGGGAAGAAGAAGGTGTGAGCATGAGCACCCAGCTGGGCCCAGCACTGAGCACAGGGCTCATGGGCTATGCTGAGAGCCTTTTGCAGTTCTTGTTAGTCCAGTGTGAAGGCTTTGAAGCAAGATAGTAGATCAACTGAACTTCACAAATGGAGGCATAGCTTTCCAGGGTGAGGCCACCTCACTGGTGTGGAGGAGAGAGCATTGAGGCTGGACCAGGGCAGGTGCAAGGGAATTGGAAGATGTGGAGAGGCTGGGGAATGACTTAGGAGAACCAGTTTGTAGGACTTGGTGATTGATAGGAAATGAAGAAGAAAGAATCATCAAATGAGTCTCAGGTTTCTACTGAGATACGAGATTGTAATGATTAAAACACACACACACACACACACACACACACACACACACACAAACACACACACACACACACAAACACTCTTAATGAAGAGTTGAAAAGAAAATTATATTTCATGCCTGTCCCTCCCTCCATCTCTCATAGCTTCCCCTTCTCCCAGTAAAGATTTCCCAGGAGCAGATAGATAAAAGTTAGATCTTTATATTTGGTGATCAATTGTTTGGATATGGAAAAATTGGACTCCGAAAGTCTCTACTGCCAAAGGAAGTTCACAAACCAAAGCAGCCTTTAGGGGTTTGCTTATTGTTGCTGCTAAAGAGAGAAAACTTTTCACCTACAGGAGCAGGCCAATTCAAACTCAACCAGCCTAGAACCTGTTGACCATCAACAGGGAATCACACTCTACGCCTCCATTCAGCCACAAATGATGGACAATGATTCCAGGAGCCAGATACCGTGGTTGGAATTAAGTTTTATTTGAGTCTCAACCATATAAATATGTGTACACAACATTACATTCTATACGAGTTTGCCAGCCATTCCCCACCCATCCGCCACCCATTCTTTCCAACTCCTCAGTATGTCAAATTCAAAAAGGCCCCAGACAGGATCAATTCACAGAGAGCAAGGTGCAGCCTGAGAGTCTCAATTCATAGAGACCCACAGAGCCTCCCAGAGGATCAAATGGGTTGGAAGTCTATTCGAGGTCTAGAAAAGACCTGCTTCAAAACCACACAAAAGGATTACTTTAACATTTTAAACTCAACTTTAAATTTAGTTGTTAGTAATTTCTCAGGTTCATATTGAAATGAACAAAACACACACACACACACACACACACAGCCTCCTCAAAGCACATTTCGTTCAAAGAAAAAAAGATTGCTGGAAGGCAATTTAGTCACTTGTGATTTCTGAACAAAAAAGATCTTTCTTTGCATCACCAAGAAGTTTCATTTGAAAATAAATGTGTAACTCAGAGTTGTTCTGTGATAAATCACAAATGCAGGCACATATAGACCTCTAATCCTATTCTGTGGTACACTGAAATTGTGCGGGGGTAAAAAAGAAGTATGGTTATATTTCCTTAGGGATAACTCATATGTGTAGACCTACAGTACACTGATACTTTTTTTCTGTAAATATTTTGAATGTGCATGATCAAATTTCTGTCACTGGTCCAACACCTAGAAATGCCTGACAACTTTCTCACATGAATTTCTGGATTGGATTCAGCAACAGAGTGACTGGTAACTGTATCTACAAATGGCTGATCTATTTTGATGTGAGCTTAATTAATGCTGCATATAAAACTCCAAATGTCACAATCCAGGAATTTTTAAAATTTGAATTATTAGATTGATCTAGTTAGCTTATTCTAAAATGGAATTTGAATTTCATTTAATGTGGTATTAACTTCTCTTCCTATAAATTCATTTTTAAGATAAAGGGATATCATGAAACCTCTCTATTATGATTTTAGTGTGTGGATGAGAACTGTAGGAAAATGCTACAAATAAAACATGGCTTCAAAATCATGATCTACCAACTGCAAGTTGGGGAGGGTTGGACTGGCAATTTATGACATCTGGTCACAAAGTCCAAGTTGCTTTTTGATGAAGTTTGAGATTAGGAGCTGAGGCCGTTGCTGGTATCCCATCAGAACATCATGAGACAAGTTGATTTGATCACATTCAAGTCGGTCAAGAAGGGTCACACAGACACTTTAGCAGCTAGTAGAGAAAGTAACAGGATTACTGAAGTGAATGATTTGACCTTTTCTACAGGAATATTAGCCTAGCAAGCCACCATCCAGATTATATGAACTTTGTGTTGTTTTCTCTGTAATTAGACACAATCTGATAAACCCTCTAGTTTTCTATATAATTTATATTTATAGTTCATATTTCTATGGAATTTCACCAAAGAGTTCATTTAAATAAGCTAATTGAAAATATCATGCAAACTCCTCTTTCCACTTTTAGATAAAGCTCAGGAAAGCTTCAGGTTTAAGCTAAAACAAGGAGAGATCTTTGCCATCTATAACATAGGCTCTGGTTTTTGAACCTATTTCCAGTTCTTAGAGAAGATTTCTTCTTTGAGGATATACCTGGAGAGCTATCCCTTATTCCTTAAGGAAATGTTTGATTTTTTTCCTCCCTCAGCCCTTACTGGACAGTAAAATAAATAGAGAAGAGATATGGAACATCGACCTACGAAATGTCAATAAAGGTGAGTGTCAAATTAAGAAGGACTGCAAGGGAAGATGAATTCACAGACAGCAAGGTGCAGCCTGTAAGCCTTATGAAATTTGAGAAAATCTTATGAAATTTGAAAAATGCAACGTTTAAATATAAGAGCTCCATAAAACAGCAAATATAGTAGTATTTAATTTCTAAAGAATGGGAATAAAATTCTATGATAGATAAGAAACTAGGAGAGAAAGAACAACAAAAAAAAAAAACTTTCCTAAAAGAACAAAATTCTCATTTTTTGAAAAGTTGCCACAAGAACAGTATCTTTGGTTTGTTTCATTGGAAAGTTAGAGAGAAAAAAAAATGGGAGGTATAAAAATTCCTTACTTCCAGTTTCACATCAAGGAATTCCTTGATTTCAAGGAATGTGGTTACCTACATTGACATCCATGTTAAGCCCTCATAATTGATAACATTGAAATAATTTCTATCTGCCTCTTGTCTCTGATCATGTTTTAAAGGATGTCAGCATATATAGGATTAGACATATCTACATTAACAAGTTTTAAGGATGTAAAGACAGTTGGGCATGAGTGTGATATTTATTCCTTACCCTTCTACTACTTAAGACATCTTTGTAAGATTTGATTTGGGGAGAAGTATATCAGGATCATAATAGGACATGCTATCTTTAAAATTTTACTTTTATTTGACAAATCGTCATACATATTTAAGGAATATGATGTGATATTTTGATATATGTATACATTGTAGAAAGATTCAATCAAGCTAACATACCCATTACCTCACATATACTTATCTCTTTCCATGATGAGAACAGTTAAAATTTCTTTCAGAGATTTTCAAATATATTTTAGTTAACTGCACTCACATGTTGTGCAAGAGATCTCTAAAATGTATTCCTCTAATTGAAACTTCATACCCTTTGACCAACAGCTAGCCATTTACCACCCCTGCCATCAGATTCTTAGCCTCTGATAAGCACCATTCTAATATCCACCACTATGAGTTTGAATATTTAAATTTCCCCTGTAAATGAGATCAGGCAGTATTTGTCTTTCTGTGCCTGGCTTATTTCACTTAACATGCTATCTACCAGGTTCATCCATATTATCCCAAATAATTAAATTTCCTTCTTTACTAAGGCTGAATAGTATTCTATTTTGTATTTTTACCACATTTTTTTTCGTCCAGTAGTCTGTTGATGAACAGTTAGGTCAAGTCTCTATCTTGGCTATTGTGAGGATGCTGCATGCCTGGGAGTGAAGATGTCTCTTTCACATACTGATTTGAATTATTTTGGTTATATACTCAGGTGTAGGATTGCTAGATCATATGGTAATTTTGTTTTTAGTTTTTTGGGAGAACTTCATGAAGTTTTCCAAAATGAGGATGTATTAATTTACATTTTAATCAACACATCCTCACCAACTCTTAGCTTTTGTCTTTTTGATAATAGCCATTCTAATGGGTGTAAAGTGACCTATCTTTGTGGTTTGAATTTACATTTCCTGGGTGATTAGTAGTGTTGAGCATTTTTTTTTTCATCGATTTGCTAGGCATTTGTATAATTTCTTTTGAGAAATATCTATTCAGACCTTTTGCCTATTTTTTTAATCAGGCTATTTGTTTTCTTGCTATTAAGTTGTATGAATTCCTTAAGTGTTTTGGATCTTAACCCCTTCTCAAATACATGGTGTGCAGATATTTTCTCCCAATCCCTGTATCTTTTGTTTGGTTCAATTCTTGCTATGCACTGAGTTTTTATTTATCATGTAATTCACTCAGCTGTGCCATGAGCTAGGCAGTATTCTTTCACTCTTTTGACAGATGATGAAATGAGGATTTAGAAAGGTCAGACAAATGGCCCATTACGACGCAACTGGTAAATAATTAGCCAATCAGTTCCCAGGTTCCTAAACTGCTGAGAAGAGTTCTCTCCCTTCCATCCACTCCTCTCCTGGATTGGTACAAGGTGAACCATTAGGCAAACCCATGTTGACCTGTCAAACTGACCCTCATGTTCAATGAAGTGAAAAGCAATGAAAATATTCCACTTGAGCTGAGTCAAATATTTGACCGCCCAGGACCCTGTTTATTCAAAACCCACTCAGTTGTAAAGCAACTTGGCTGAACAGGTAAACAAGCAAATGGAAGAGATAGAAACTTCCCCCAGCTTTTCAAGTTAATGATCAGCAAGTCTGTGAAGCCTGACATGGGCTGGCAGTAGCAGAGAAAAGTTGAAAGTCCTGCTTTAATCCTTCACTTGGCAGAAGGATAAAAGGAAACCAGTGCTCTGTGCTTTCCACAGAGTGGGAGCAGACTTTACTGAATGTCTTTTCTGTATTTCAAGGGTAATGCCAAAAATGGGAAAGAACAGGTAATAGCCATCTCGGTGGTGTTTTCTTGACCCTGGAGAGCCTGCTAACAAGCAGCATATAATAATCTTGTCACCTAAAATTACTATTTCCATGAGAAATTAAAAGGGACTAATTATCCAAAACAATTTATCAAAATTATTCCTGACAGATTTGCTACCATAATCTTCAGATTAGGTGTGAAGGGTGTTTCTTGGAGAGAAAGGGACACTTAATGACCCACCTGTCACCCAGAGAGTTGTCATGTAACTGACCTGAGGATGGAATGTAATAAGAGTACACAGATCTGAATTCAGAGCTTAATGAACCCTGAGCCGGGCCAGGGATGCTCAGGACACCCACTTTGGGATCATATATGGCGTCTTTGAAACTCCAATTAAAGTTGCAATTGGAACCTCTTCCCCCCCCCCCCACAAAATACTCATATGCCTATACACACATCTGTGTGTATTGTTTCAGTGTATCTGGGGCCCCACAAAAGCCTTGGGAATCATAGAGCTCTATGAACTGCTACTTCCTCCCCACTTCTCTGATTCGGAACAAATTTCCAGGAATGTTTTCCCATAAATGATGACCAAAGATAGCAGAGCCAGGCACCAATACCAGTGTACACAGCAGAAGCCAAATGAGTTGGACTTGGGAAAATGAGAAAACAGCAATGGTTGACATTGGAGCTCCCAGCCTGGCCTTTCTATCTGCTTCTCTTCTTCCATCTCTCCCCAGGCCCTTCTCACCCGCACACCACACACATACCTCCTGCTCCTCATGGCTTTGAGTTCTTTACTTCCTGTGTTCCTGGCATAGAAAACACAGAATCATTGTTGAATCAACAACCCATGGCCTTTGCCCTTCCTGGATCTCTCTTGAGACATCATCTCAGGCTGTTGGCTGCTTATCACAAACCAGGTGGAGAAAACTGATATTCAAATGGGCTGGTCAATGCTAAGGACACACTAACAACTCTTCTACATTGATGTTTCTCAAAATGCAGTCCACTGGGGCTGGAGTTGTGGCTCAGTGGTAGAGTGCTCACCTAGCACATGTGAGGCCCTGGGTTTGATCTTCAGCACCACATAAAGATAAATAAAAGGTATTGTATCCATCTACAATTAAAAAAATATATTTTAAAAAATGAAGTCCACAGGCCACCTGCATCAGAAGCAGAGATTGCTCATCACAGAGATTCCCTCTCAGACATAAATAATCAGAATTGGGGCTAGGTTGGGAGGGGACAGTAAATCCACATAAAAAGAAGATCTCCCCAAAATAAATTATTTATACATTGTCATTTGAAAACTACTGCTTTAAGGACTTTAAACTCTAACTCTAAACCAAATCAAATCATCACAAATGTACATACCTGAACCCTAATTCCTTAGGTTCCCAAAGAATCACTGAATTAGTTACAAGCAAAATTTTGCAATTTACTCTATAAAGAATTTTCCTATATTTTTATAAAAGTATTACTAAGGACACTGCCTTTTATAATATAGCTGATGGTTTCACCGTTTAATATTTTCATAAATTTAACATTTGGATAATATTTTTGTGAGACTTCAAGTGCTTTCTTTATATAATGAAGCATGTGTAACTCAGAATGTTTTCATTTTAACCTTGGCCTTTAGGAAACTCAAAGCTAAATCTAAGTATTTAAGTTTCGTATTATATTCCTAGGTAGCATCTTTAGTATCAATGCTCCCTCATCTGCTCCCTTGAGTAAATGTCTCTTATTCTTTTTGCCATTGTTTAAATGATTATTATATATTCTTCTTTAATTGAAAATTGCCACTAATGCTTTCTCAGGTAAAGGTGGATATCAATCATCTTTCAGTAAATTAATGCTACCTTTTTACACCCGATGGATTAATGTAGGGAGCGGCAGAAAAGAGACAAGAGACCTCAGTTCTAGTTCATCTCTGTTCCAGTTTAACTGTGTTTCATTAAGAAGTTCAATTACATCCTCTAGGTCTGATCTCATTCTCTGAGAAAGGAGGAGGTTAGGCCTCAGAGGTCTCACACAAGTCCATGTACTCTGCTTAATGTACTTCACAACATCTTGCCAGTACGAAGACCATGCTGTCATCTCCAGGAGATCCAGCTGCAACCTTGGGGCCTTGAGTTTCTGCTGGATGCTGGACCTTTAACCAGAGATGACTCAAGATGGCAGTGATTAAAGTCTCTTGTGCTGGGGGTGGGGGTGGCCCCTGGCAGGGGGAATCCAGGAAGCCACAAGGGAGTCACAGCAGAGAAGAGGCCAGATACAGGTGAAACCAGCCACGCAGAAGGTTGAAGCAGTGACTATTAAAGGACCTGTAAGCCAGGCACAGTGGTGAACACCTGCAATCCCAACAGATCTGGAGGCTGCGACAGGAGGATTGCAAGTTCAAAGCCAGCCTCAGCAACATAGCAAGGCCCTAAGCAACTCAGAGAGACCCTGTCTCCAAATAAAATTTTTAAAAGGGCTGGAGATGTGGCTCAGTGGTGAAGTGCCCCTGGGTTTAATCCCTGATGCCTCTAACATGTGATATGCTGGCAGTGGCGGGGGAGGGGGGCAAGATATAATATAGGAGAGTATAATTAAAGTGAATCAAACAAACCATAGACAAGGATGAAAAATACATACAAACTTACAAAATAAGCAGAAGCAAGTTATTTTTCAAATCTCATCTTTATAAAAAGTGATAAGTAAAAAAATACCTGAAAGACAGGATTTTGAATGTGTCACACAAAGAAATGTTAAGTATCTGAGGTGATGGATATGCTAATTATCCTGATTTGATCATCATACCAAGGATACATGCATTGAAACTTCACACGTATCCCATAATTTGTATAATTATTGTGTCAATTAAAAACACAAATAAAGTAATAAGTGAATTACTTGTTATTTACACTTGATTTTCCAGATACAGAGACTGATTTTCTTGGCAAAGTAATGGCTATACATACTATTTTATAAATATCTGTTTGACATTTTGATTCCAACACTAAATCTTAGGATATGCTCAGCCCTAAGGGTTTGCTTGCTGAAGTATCACAAATATCTGCTCAAAACATTTAAAATAGAAAAACTTCCATTGAATTTAATGGTGCACATTTTGGTTCTTCTGTCCAGAGACCATGGACCTTGGGTCTCCTGGGAGGCTGCTGGCAAGAAGAGCACAGCATAGTGCAGAGAGGAGTGAGTCATCAGGGGCAGTGTTCAAATTCCAGTTCAGCTACTTCTCAGCTGTGAGAAGGCTAGAAAGTTATTTAACCTCTCAGCCAGTTTCTCTCTCTTGGGAAGGTGAAAAGAGCTGCAGTTGATTGCCTTGTGGAATGATTTTTCAAAGTCCTGATTTATCTCCATTTTAGGGTTAAAAATACTCTAGCTCCAAGCTGACTAGAATCTTTAATTTTTGTTCTAATATCTCTTTTTGACTTTATCAATGATCATGGTGCAGTTTCCTGAGTTCAGTACCCTTCACTGCTGGGAACAACAGAAGAATGTAAAAGCAAAATTAAAGTCAAGCTTCTTCTACCTTTTATTGAACAGTTATAAAGTAATATAATGGAGACTGAATATATCCCCCAAAGTTACAAGTATCTGTCAGAAGAAATAACGCTGAATTCTTCTTTTCCACTGAAGAAAGCCACTGTGAGTTACAAACAACTGAAGAGATTGAAGAGGATTCAAGCAAAAGCCAATCTTAGACAAATATTAGGTTTCATATAATTTTTTTTATACGAAACACAAGAAAGTGTCAAAAGGCAGCAATGTCTTTGAAAAACAGATACAAATCATATCTATCTCAAATTCACAATGCAAAGGGATTATCATCTTTAATCAGAATGTTAGGGGCTTAATTAATGTACATTTTACTTTAAGAGAGGGACCAGATGTGTGCCTCTTATTAAATGACAAATGAATATATTTATTCCACATTATACAGTGTTTACATTGTATATTCTGACATTGTTCTGTAGGGTTAGCCTTCGGATATAGAACATCAGTGATTTCCACTATTTCTCTTCACCCAAATCTTTGTTAAGGGAGCACTGGATTCCTAATTCTCTTGTCCAGAATAATGACATCAGTAGAGCAACAGTGATTTACAATGTTAGTAGCCCTATTCCAGGGAGTTTGCTCACCTATCAAGAGACCCCATAGATATAACAAAGGAGGTATTTGTGTAGACCTCATAGAAAAGGGAAACCTTGACCTTTGGGGAAACTAGAAGGCACTCCTGTTTCAGACAATGCCAAACTACTAATGTATCTGGGCAATGAGGGATCCAGTTTGTTATAGACATTTGGTATGGCCAAGAGCATCTAGCAGCATTTCTTTTCATTCATTCAGCAAAGAGTTTTTGAATGCACATATGAAAGACATTATTCTAAGTGCTGAGAATACAGTAATGACAAGCAAAGTCCCTGTTCTATGGCACTTACATCCCAAATGGAGCTCTCTAATAAATACATAGCCTTCTGCATTAATATACGAAAAGCAATGTATAAGTTAATATATAAACAAATCAGAAATATAGTCAGTAATAGTAAATGTGATGCCCAGAAGTGAAGCAGAATGACAGTGTCAGTGGGTTTGTGCAGTGACGCAAAGCTTCCCAAGGGGGTGAGATCTGACATTAACTGTATAGAGAAAAAGTGGCAATCCACACACACCTGAGACCTCGCCATGCTGGGTGCAGAAAGATCTTTTTTTCTGCATGGGTCCAAGCTCTGTGAGTGATTCCTCTGAATTAGGACTATGGGTCCCTAGGAGTCCCTTGTTTATATTTAATGTTATTGATAAGCTGAAACTAATAGCATGAACCTTGGTACAAGTTCTGTTTGTTTATGCAGTCATTTGGTCGTATTAAAGAGACAGAAATAAAAAGGTCGTCTGAGAAGGCTGAAATAGGCAGTCTGGGGTGGGCCACTGCTAACTGTAGCAAGGAGGAGGTTGTAGGTGGGGACAGGCCTGGGAGGTTAAAGGCAGTCATGGGTTCTGGGCTTTTTTTGTGCCAGGTGAAATATCTCTTCCCATGCTGCTTATCATTGCTGTATACCCTCCCTAACTTCCTCTGTGTCAGCAGCTGCTTGTGAATGTAAGATTTTCTGACTCACACAGAGTAGGTTGTAAACGGGTTAAAATGAAAAGGTGCCAGGTGCCAGCTCCAAGCTTCACTGCTGTGGGGGAAGGATGTTATGAAGTGGTAATGAAAGATGGGAACATGATTGTAACTTATGTGTGAGGCTTTTGTCTGTGTACTTG